GCTTCTTTCTTATATATATATATATATATATATATATATATATGTGTGTGTGTGAAATAAAAAAGATATAATTTATCTAATAAATTATTTGAATAAAAAAAATCTTACTGTCCCTAAACTTTTGAACAGTAGTGTACATATTCTGTCCAATTCTGTCTCTCTGCCATCTTAGTGGCCATGTTAGTGACTGAAATATGATTAATCAGAAATCTGCTGTGTCTTGTACAGGTGCTAATCCTCCACGGCCTGGAGGTTTCCCCGTTGCAAACAGTCCTGGACCCGTGGCAGACTTGTATGGCCCCAGCAGTCAGGACCCCGCTGTGGGAAATTACATCAGTGCTGCCAGCCCCCAGCCGGGCTCGGGGTTCAATCACAGTATTGCAGTGAGTAGAGCTCTCTTACACTCCCTCGGTCATGCTGATGTGGCCAAGAGATTCGAAAGTACGGAGAAAGTTCTCACTTTGTGTCTTTTGTCCATCATACTTTTTAATTATATTCAACCTCCAGCTGAGAAATCAGAGTCTGATTGGCTGTTCCTCCTTTGTGACTCACTTTTTATGGCAAGGGCTTGATTGTCAGCCCAACAATTTAGAAACGCAGAGTTAGAAAAAAAATATATCAGAGGAATTAGTTCCATTCCACATGTTCAAAAATACCCCAATGAGTCACGAGTCTCCATTAGACTGACACATCTTGTCTTGCTGATGTTTTATTTGGAGAATAAAAGCATCACAAACAGTTTAAAGGAAGCAAAAAGCTGCCATGGTTGGATTTGAGCAAATTGTCAAAATCAGATGCCCCTGTAACTAGCAGATGCTCTTGACACCGTCTCTAAACAAAAGCCCCTGCGTTGCACAAAAACTTGCTTTAATTGGCTTTTGTCAGGGAGCGCACGGATTCTGTCTGCAGATGTCACGGACGTCAGGTTGTGGCTCGGTGTCAGCACAGATCTCAATTTGAAGAAGGAAGCATTTATAATGAGGTGTCAAAGTGAAATTTAATTATTCACCCCGTTCTCACAAATCAGTTTCTTAACCAAATGAAGCACATATTTTGATTTATGCAAGTGTTTGCAGCAGATTTCTACTGTTTTATTGCTTGTGGGTGGTCTGCTTTAGAGGCCCGTTTTCATCTGTTATATATGAAAGGTAATGCATGTTAGAGATATAGTGCTGGTAGTCTAGTGGTTCAATGAACAGTTGAAAAATCTGTCCTCATTTACTTATCGTCATGACGTTCCAAACCCTTGAAAAAAGCTCCATAATAGTGGTCCATATGTGTGGTGTATTCAAAGTCTTCTGAAATCATACAGTGGTTCTGTTGCAATTTGGTTTGAGGAACAAAATTAACTTTTGTTTTCATTGGTTCTCGCATGTCTCATAACCAAAATGTGCCAATGTTAAATTTCAAAAAGATTCTTATTCTTATTTTTGGCTGAACTGTTCCTAAACTTCTGAGCTAATAATGAGGAGGAGTAATTTATGATCTCCCATCACAACAGGCAGGCACGTGCACACTAGGGGTGGGGGGAAAAAACGATACAGCATAGTATTGCGATATTTTCCGCAGCAATACTGTATCAATACACGGACGCCAAGTATCGATCTTTTATTATACTATTTGGTAGAATAATAAAATCAACACTAGATGGTGGTGTTGAGTTTTTTTCTGGTGAGGTCAGCTGGGCAGTGTTGCCAACTTAGCGACTTTGTCGCTAGATTTAGCGACTTTTCATACCCCCCTAGCGACCTTTTTCCAAAAAAGCGACTAGCAACAAATCTAGCGACTTCTTGGACAACCCTTAGCGAGTCTCTTTGACTCGCTGGTACTGCCGCATGAGCGCGAGATCTTGCTTTCACAGCGCGCACACCCCTCTCTCTCCCTCTCCCTCCCTCCCTGTCTGTTCAGCGAGCGGCAGAGAGGAGCTGCACTTTCAGTTAAAATAGTTATCAGAATCAGAATCAGAATCAGAAGAGCTTTATTACCAAGTATGTTTACAGGCGCCAAATGAACCAACACATTTATGGTGTTGCTTCTCTAATTTTACATGCAAATATATCCGAAAACACGGCACAGGAATTGTCTTTGTCTTTGCTTATGTTATGTGTATTTGATTTCATCAGACGACAGCTCGATTATAAATCAGGATTTTTGTGCAGATTAACATCTTGGACGGGAGAGCTGGTTATGTAGTCTTAAAGGGCCACATTTCAGTCACTATTTCATATTTATCCCGTTTGTATGTGAAAAATACAGTAAGTGAGCACAGAGAGGCAAACAAATGTAAAAGGAAATAGACGTGATTGAACTTCTTTCAATGGAAAATAGCTAAAGCCAGTTTGAAAAGTCGCTAGATGACGTCATGTGCTAATTAGCATATTAATGACGTCATCTAGCGACATTTAGCGACTTTTCAAACTGGCTTTAGCTATTTTCCATTGAAAGAAGTTGGCAACACTGCAGCTGGGTCACCTTCAGCATGCCATGCAGTAAGTTAGTAAAATAAAGAGGGCGGCATCGTGGAAAGTTTCCGCTCAATATTCCGCTCTATGAATGTGCGTTCCGCTCGTGGACCGCTCATGCTCATCGGAAAAGTCCGCTCAAATAACGCGCTAACAGAACATTTCTATGCAGTTATAGGCCTACTTGTTCCGGTTTACAGTAGCGCTACTGTGTTGTAACATGGTGTAGGTTAGTTCAGCTGTACTGGGCAACGCTGCTAAAATGATGCTACCTTCAGTGACGCTATGCTCTGCTCATATGCTCTGATAATAATAGCTTTGTAGGACTATACATTATTTGGATAATTAGTCAAAAAAATAAAACTTCTATCTGATTCTGTTACATAGAAGTGAATAAAAATAATATATTGATATTTAATATTAAGGTAACACTTTTCAATAAGGTTCCATTAGTTAATGTTAGTTAATGTATTAACTATCATGAATGAACAATACATTTATTACAGTATTTATTTATCTTTCTTAATGTTAGTTAATGAGAATACAGTTATTCACTGTTAGTTCATGTTAATTCAGAGTGCATTAACTGTTAACAAGCACAACTGTTGATTTTAATAATGCATTAGTAAATGTTGAAATTAACATGAACTAAGATTAGTAAATGCTAAAGAACTATTGTTCCTTCTTAGTTCATTAACTAAAGTAGTTAACTAATGTTAACTAATGAACCTTATTGTAAAGTGTTACCAATATTAATATAAATTCTGTCCAGTTTTATTGTGTTACTTTCAGTAAAAGTGTGGTTATTTTATTGGGTTGTGTTTTTTTTAATTCAGTATCATTAAAATTGAGTTAAATTTGAAAAGTCTTACAATATTACTTTATATTATTTAATAAAATAATCATTACAAAGCATTTTCGGTTTTCGGCCAAGTGCATCCAGAATTTTCATTTCGGTGCATCCCTAGATGTAAGACTACATGTTTTATTTAATTTAATTTAAATTTGTAATGTAATTTACTTTCAAATGCCCCAATTGCTGAAGGGTCTGCACAACTTTTTAGTACAATTTCAAGTTGCACTGTTCAAAATACCTGTAGTAGCACAGCAGTGCATACCTGTTTACATTTAATTAAGGTGGACTAGATTAGACTGTAATACAAATAGTTGAGTTTGCCAGGTGCATACAACATTTATGACGGGTTTTCATGAAAGTGTTGGTCAGTTTGTCTGCTTGACAATCCCATTTTGCACTGCAACAATAAAACTGAAGTGAGCTAAACATACTGAGAAATGTTTCTTTTTAGTTAAAACAGATGTTGTCAAAGTTTTCCTTTGGGGACATAATTTGAAGTTGGAAAAAGGTAATAAATTGCAATATATCGCAGAATATCTCAATAATATTGTATCGTGATTCGTGACAATATCGTATCGTGAGCCCTCTGGTGATTCCCACCCCTAGTGCACACATAGACATCAAAGGGAGCTTGAGCACCTGCCCTTTTTCTTCCTCAAGAGAAAGTGTCCTTTTTTCTGGGGAGTGTTTTTTTTTTAACAAATGAATTTATGTATATATGTGAGCGTGTGTGTGTTTCTGTTTGCGCACAGCTTTCCCTGTCAAACAAATAAAAATCAAAATATCAGGTCGGGTCGGGAAATGTTGAGACTTTAGTTTCTCCCCTCTGCATCTCCGCGCAGCACAGCAGTGTAGCACACATCAATCA